TCAATTCCTTTTCTTCAGTTCATTTGCCTCCTGTCTGAGGCCCTCAATGGTGTGGGCAAAGGAGATGATGATTAGGGCTGGGCAAAAAAATTGATTTTCCGATTAATCGTTTCTTTTCCAGTATTTATTTCAGCACACATTTAAAACAAGATCTGATTAACGTGAATCTTATCATTAGTCTTCTCCACTAGATGTCACCCTTATTTACCTTGCGCGATGTTACAACAGAAATCCTGTCATTCATTCAGCACTTATCATGGCCATAGGCGCAATTCGCAATGCTCAGGTGAAATGCTATAGTAATACTATAAATCTGCGGAAGTATTTGATATCACGCATAAGGCGCCATGATTTCCGCAATGAATGAATGGCGGATGGTGCGGCGCACTTTTTTTGTTTACTACACGCATACTAAAGCGCGGATGACGCTCGCAGGGTTTTCAGCTTCTGCCGTCTCACTATATGATGATATGAACACAAATGTCATCTCCAGCTGCTCTAAGAGTCACTTTATTAGCATTTACCATTTCATTTGAGAAATCTACCGTCATATCACATGCACAGCAGCTGGAAGCTCTTCACGGCAACCCGTCATAATAAAAGTTAAGTTTAACCTTCTACTGTCAGAATATAATACTATTTAGCAGTCTTAAGTCTCAATGCTACTACTGCTAATAAATATTAATTTTTAATTAAACTTTTAATTTTAACAGTAGGCTAAACCTCTAAAGGGCTCCCTTTCAATATTTTCCGTTGTCCTTGACACCTGTGTGACTGGTGTGGAGGAGGATGTTGTTGTGGACAGCTTGTTGGACATCCCGTGATGTTTGCAGGATGAGGATGTTGTCTTCCATAGCGTCTCCCAGTAGTTGGTCTGGTACCTGGGTCTGTTTGCCATGGCGATGGTTCTGTCCTAGGGGCTTCATGTGGAAGGGTCTTGCACTGTGGCCATGCTGGGTGCCTTCTGGTGCCCGCTTTGAATTTTGAGTGATGCAGTTCAGAACTAAGTCTCAATGCTACTACTGCTAATAAATATTAATTTTTAATTAAACTTTTAATTTTAACAGTAGGCTAAACCTCTATTGTGCAGCACTTTGTTTGCCAAAAAATAAAAGGGTTTAATTTTCATTTGATTAGGATAAATTAAATAGTTTTATGCCTTCATCTGATTACCAGAAAAAATAAGAACATTTTATAGGGCCCTATTATTATTGTTTAAAAAAGGATAGGTTTAAAATACAGGCATGTGGTTCTTAATTCCTTTTTATTAATTCACCATTTGTAAACTGATGTTTACTGATCATTTTTTAGAAATATCAATAGCATTTGTATTAAAACTATATTCACTGAATGTAATAAAATAAAAAAAATCGAGAATTGGATCAAATCGGGACATCTGAATCGATACCCAGCCCTAATGATGATGCTGGTCAGCTCCTGGGGATTCAGGCTGGGTGTCAAGTGTCCACTTGTGTTGCAGTCTTGCTGTTCTATTCTCTGGCAAGGTCGTTGGCTGATTTGGGCTGAAGGGTGTTCCTCATGCCACCTAGCCAATCCTTTTGGTCTGCCGTCTGGGAAGATAGGCTGAGCATCTGCAACATTTTGCCAGACTCGTGGTGAGAGTAAGAGCAAAGAGGCTAATTCAAGATCATACTGAATTTGGCGCTAAAAGCACAGTGGGGCAGTTAGGTATATAATGTACAGCTAGGTTTTGTCAGGTGTGGTTACCTAGTAAGAGGTCTGCTACCCTACCCGAGCCCGACGGGTCCCAAAATACTTTCGGGTTTCGGGTCGGGTTCGGGTTAATGTTTAATGAATAGCTTTGGGTTGGGCTCGGGTTTATAGCTAAACTAAAACTATATGCAGGCTAGGCTGCTTTCATAGACGCACGCACACACATTGCACACGACAACACAGCACGGTAACTTTTATTAGTAAAATAGCTTCGACAGGCTACTGACTCGCAACGTTATATTTCTCTGCAATGAGGGGGTAAAAATCGCTGTTTTTGAAGGAACTAAGCCTCATTGCTTGAGACGCGCAGGTTCACACACGCAACTTTCATCTCTCTCTCTCGCGCGCGCGCGCTAATTCATAAATGATATAATTTGCCTAATTAATTCAAATAAATGCGATCTTACCACACTGCATCTCGGTGTCTGATTTAAAGCAGGCCGAATGCTAACGAGCCTTAACTGACGAAAATTACCATAATTTGCACGATGGAAAAATTACCGTCTTCTCTTATACAACCATTCAAAAACTCAGCAGAATTTATGTGACAGCTGCACCTGATGTTCATAAACTTTCATAACTGGTAAGTGTTTTTTCTTTTGCCTTGTGAACTGGCCAAGCCTTAATGATTCTGTTCCTTTACATGTATTTGCTTACTGACCGCTACATGCAATCATGAAATACAGCATTTTTTAAAAAATTGGCTATTCGTTGTGGGGAAAAAAAAAAAAATTCGGGTTCGGGCTCTAAATTTAACTGTGCCGCTCGGGTCGGGTCAGACGATCTCAGGTCTTAAAGCCCGTGCAGACCTCCATTACCCAGTGAAGTATTCTGATATTATTATATTAGCTGTGGATGCCAGGATGCAAATATTTGTGTGGGAATGTTGGTTGAAAAGGGTGTAAGCAGATTTAAGTGATGATTTAGGTTTGTTTTTATTGTCAAATTATTACTCAAAACTTACTGATGGTTCACAGCAGGCTTAGTCTCTGAACAAATGAAGAAGAGAAAGACGGAGCAGATATTTCCTGCAGATTGTGTTTATACGTGGTGCTCAGAATTACAGTTATGCCCTAGCAATCGTCTAGATTACCTGTGTAGCAGGCTCATAAAATTGAAGCAACTGTTGAGAATAACTAAATCATGAAGGAAAGTATGTCTAGTTCCTTTTGAGGTTCCATGGGAAAAAGAAACCGTACAAGAGGGGTACATTTAAATAAATTAATTAGATGAAAGGATAAAACAAATTTTTTTAGAACTGACTGCTATTATTATTAAAATAAATAAAATGAAGTAAGTGATTAAAACAGGTGAATGACCTAAAATTGAGAATAATCAATAGCATTAGTGATTAACTGTTAGCTTTGTTTTGGACATCACTTTGTAGTTGGTCACAGCTGCTGTGTGTTCAGCTCCCATGCCTAGACCACACCATGTGTGTACCTCCATAAAGTTTATTCAAAGTGCTATTTAACATTCTCAATAACTATTAGAATTATTCTCTAGCTGAACAGCATTCAGGAAGGAATGCACCTAAAATAGTGTAGGTGAAATATAGCTGAGAAGAATTAAAGGTAAGGAAAGAGAAAGTGAGAAATCAGAAACCAAGGATTGGGTTAAAAGGAAACGGTATAAATCACTTCACACTGCATAAACACAAGCTGTATTTAAAGGTTTCAATAACTGATGCTAACCACTAACTGCTGAAGTTATTAGGTAGCTTAGCCTAAGCCAAAGAGCTGCTAGGTTGTGTTAATTTAGCCACCTGAGGTGGCTTGTTTACAATATGGCGTCACCAGGTGATGCATGCACTGGAGTTAGCACTTTCTGTGACAAATCGTTGTCATGGGAACCAGTGTACACCAGTGAAATTCAAACAGTTTATGAAGAACCTCTGCACATTTCAAACGAGTTAAACATGGTGTTTATACTTTCAGATATTCACAAACTTGATGTTACATTCAGTAAAATGCAAATATGGTCTGGCATTTGCAAATTTCACTCAAGTAAAATCTGTGAGTGAGCACTTCTCTCTACTTTAAACAATAGGCTGTGTGTACTTGTTCAAAAAAGTAATTATACAGATTTGTTGTAAGTTAAAGCATGTTTAATCATACGTAATATCTATTTGGGCTAAATTTAGCTCAAAGGGAATCGATTATGATTTTATAGGGAATTTTGACAATCACTGTTCTACGGTTCTTAATTCCTTTTTATTAATTCACCATTTGTAAACTGATGTTTACTGATCATTTTTTAGAAATATCAATAGCATTTGTATTAAAACTATATTCACTGAATGTAATAAAATAAAAAAAATCGAGAATTGGATCAAATCGGGACATCTGAATCGATACCCAGCCCTAATGATGATGCTGGTCAGCTCCTGGGGATTCAGGCTGGGTGTCAAGTGTCCACTTGTGTTGCAGTCTTGCTGTTCTATTCTCTGGCAAGGTCGTTGGCTGATTTGGGCTGAAGGGTGTTCCTCATGCCACCTAGCCAATCCTTTTGGTCTGCCGTCTGGGAAGATAGGCTGAGCATCTGCAACATTTTGCCAGACTCGTGGTGAGAGTAAGAGCAAAGAGGCTAATTCAAGATCATACTGAATTTGGCGCTAAAAGCACAGTGGGGCAGTTAGGTATATAATGTACAGCTAGGTTTTGTCAGGTGTGGTTACCTAGTAAGAGGTCTGCTACCCTACCCGAGCCCGACGGGTCCCAAAATACTTTCGGGTTTCGGGTCGGGTTCGGGTTAATGTTTAATGAATAGCTTTGGGTTGGGCTCGGGTTTATAGCTAAACTAAAACTATATGCAGGCTACGCTGCTTTCATAGATGCACGCACACACATTGCACACGACAACACAGCACGGTAACTTTTATTAGTAAAATAGCTTCGACAGGCTACTGACTCGCAACGTTATATTTCTCTGCAATGAGGGGGTAAAAATCGCTGTTTTTGAAGGAACTAAGCCTCATTGCTTGAGACGCGCAGGTTCACACACGCAACTTTCATCTCTCTCTCTCGCGCGCGCGCTAATTCAAATAAATGATATAATTTGCCTAATTAATTCAAATAAATGCGATCTTACCACACTGCATCTCGGTGTCTGATTTAAAGCAGGCCGAATGCTAACGAGCCTTAACTGACGAAAATTACCATAATTTGCACGATGGAAAAATTACCGTCTTCTCTTATACAACCATTCAAAAACTCAGCAGAATTTATGTGACAGCTGCACCTGATGTTCATAAACTTTCATAACTGGTAAGTGTTTTTTCTTTTGCCTTGTGAACTGGCCAAGCCTTAATGATTCTGTTCCTTTACATGTATTTGCTTACTGACCGCTACATGCAATCATGAAATACAGCATTTTTTAAAAAATTGGCTATTCGTTGTGGGGAAAAAAAAAAAATTCGGGTTCGGGCTCTAAATTTAACTGTGCCGCTCGGGTCGGGTCAGACGATCTCAGGTCTTAAAGCCCGTGCAGACCTCCATTACCCAGTGAAGTATTCTGATATTATTATATTAGCTGTGGATGCCAGGATGCAAATATTTGTGTGGGAATGTTGGTTGAAAAGGGTGTAAGCAGATTTAAGTGATGATTTAGGTTTGTTTTTATTGTCAAATTATTACTCAAAACTTACTGATGGTTCACAGCAGGCTTAGTCTCTGAACAAATGAAGAAGAGAAAGACGGAGCAGATATTTCCTGCAGATTGTGTTTATACGTGGTGCTCAGAATTACAGTTATGCCCTAGCAATCGTCTAGATTACCTGTGTAGCAGGCTCATAAAATTGAAGCAACTGTTGAGAATAACTAAATCATGAAGGAAAGTATGTCTAGTTCCTTTTGAGGTTCCATGGGAAAAAGAAACCGTACAAGAGGGGTACATTTAAATAAATTAATTAGATGAAAGGATAAAAAAATTTTTTTTAGAACTGACTGCTATTATTATTAAAATAAATAAAATGAAGTAAGTGATTAAAACAGGTGAATGACCTAAAATTGAGAATAATCAATAGCATTAGTGATTAACTGTTAGCTTTGTTTTGGACATCACTTTGTAGTTGGTCACAGCTGCTGTGTGTTCAGCTCCCATGCCTAGACCACACCATGTGTGTACCTCCATAAAGTTTATTCAAAGTGCTATTTAACATTCTCAATAACTATTAGAATTATTCTCTAGCTGAACAGCATTCAGGAAGGAATGCACCTAAAATAGTGTAGGTGAAATATAGCTGAGAAGAATTAAAGGTAAGGAAAGAGAAAGTGAGAAATCAGAAACCAAGGATTGGGTTAAAAGGAAACGGTATAAATCACTTCACACTGCATAAACACAAGCTGTATTTAAAGGTTTCAATAACTGATGCTAACCACTAACTGCTGAAGTTATTAGGTAGCTTAGCCTAAGCCAAAGAGCTGCTAGGTTGTGTTAATTTAGCCACCTGAGGTGGCTTGTTTACAATATGGCGTCACCAGGTGATGCATGCACTGGAGTTAGCACTTTCTGTGACAAATCGTTGTCATGGGAACCAGTGTACACCAGTGAAATTCAAACAGTTTATGAAGAACCTCTGCACATTTCAAACGAGTTAAACATGGTGTTTATACTTTCAGATATTCACAAACTTGATGTTACATTCAGTAAAATGCAAATATGGTCTGGCATTTGCAAATTTCACTCAAGTAAAATCTGTGAGTGAGCACTTCTCTCTACTTTAAACAATAGGCTGTGTGTACTTGTTCAAAAAAGTAATTATACAGATTTGTTGTAAGTTAAAGCATGTTTAATCATACGTAATATCTATTTGGGCTAAATTTAGCTCAAAGGGAATCGATTATGATTTTATAGGGAATTTTGACAATCACTGTTCTACGGCTGATCAACTGAATTGGCCGGCAATTCACTGAATGAGCCATATAACATCAACTCCGCGATGGATATTAATATCCAAAGTATAGAAAACACCATTTATTAGTACAGTAACAAGAGCGGCAGCTTAAGACATTAACTTGTAAGCACAAAACAGAAGATACACAAGAACGTGACGATGTGTTCTGTGAGGAACAAAAGGTTAAAAGGTCTAGAAGGAGCCTGGTCTTTGTCCTGAGTGGGGGAATCCCAAGAACGTCTTTAACTCGTGATTTTGCATCTTTAACTCATGGATTTGCTCGTGATGGTCATGATAAGGTGTCTCTTCGATCATTAATCTTGGTTTGCTTGCCCCAAATTTGACAATATCCTTCCTGAGTTGAAATGATCAATAATACTTAATGCTGCAAGCTGTTCAAAGCTGTGAAAAAGTTGGTTGGTTAGGCTTACTTCAGGCTGGCTGGCACTAGGATCAGATTTACGATCATCCATGTTGTCTTGGGCCTCTTTGTGGAATTTGTCTCTTTGTGTTTCAACAATGTTCTGATCGAATCTTAAATTGTCTGATTCGCTCTGATACGCTAAAAGGTGAACCAGTCTTTCCTAGTTTCTGAAACATGCCCTGTAAATTTGTTAGCTAGAGATTTACGGTCCAAATAGGAATTAATCAATTTCATTTCAAATAATGGTATGGAAGTGTTCAATGCTGGAGGTGTTTTTATGCAAATTACGCCAAACTGATATTATAATTGGGCATTAACTCCTCCTTTTGATCCATACTCTGCTTATCAACAAATGTTGCCAGATTTTGAAAACCCACCTCATCTGCATTGTACCTCATGGTTTGTAGGCCAGGATAGGAACAATGTATAGGAGGAGGAATGGTTTTTGGACCACCAGGGGAAAAATATATATATACCTTGATTTTCTATTGGTATCCCAGCAATTCTCAGCATTCTCTGTTAAACTAATACCTGCTCAGTCTGCTCTCTTACATCAGACACCAGTCCAGCCACACGTCTCAGTGGGAAAGAAAGATGGTTCGTGGACCAATGCAAGACTTTGGCTCACAACCCAGTTAAAAACTGTGAACTGGACTTGGGATAGTTGTAGGAAACCCTACATCTACCAAGAGGGGGTAAAAGCATATCCTGTAAGGCAGACAATCGAGGTTCACAGGCTGTGTAGTGAGGAGAGAACAAAACTCAAATTTCATTCCAAAAGTGCTTCAGATTTATTGGTAGGCATTACAGACACTCTTTGGTCAAATGATAAATGAGATTTTGGCCAAATGAAAATGCAGCGCCTCTGAGGGTAACACTACTGACTCAACATAGGCCAATCAGGCCATAGTATCCCTTAGCAAAGAGGCTGTAGAAGGAATCTCAAATGTGCATGCGGCACAAGTAGAGAAAGGAGCAATCATACCCTGCCAAAATTCACCTGTGAACTCTTCTATTCTGGAGAGGCATCGGGGGAATGGAGATTTGTACAGGATTTGAGATTAGTGAACTGAGCCATACAGCCGTAATCTCCAATTGTACCAAATCCTTCTATAATTTTGTCTGAAGTGCCTAAAATGCTGCATATTTCTCAGTCACTGATTTAGCAAATGCATTTTTTCTCAATTCCCAGTCCACCCAGATGATCTGATACGGTGTTCTCCCAACAAAGGCACCTGTGAGATCGACCCGCACGCATTATTGTTAAGTTTTTAGCAAAGAATGGTCACATTGTCAAAATCAAAACTACAGTTTACAGTGCAGCAGGGAGTTAGGTACCTTGGTCACCCTAATTTCAGAAAAAGGTTGCGTGCTAGAATTTGAACAGAATTGAAGCAGTTCAGAAAATTCCGAAACCTATCACAAAATTACAGATTGTTATTTCTGGGAGTTATGGGATATTGTAGGCCATGGATACAAGACTAAGCTAAATTTCAAATTCTCTACTAACAGCAGCTTAGGTATACCTGACTATTCAAAACCTTTTGAGCTCTTCATTTTTGAAAAATTGGGGTCTATGCCAGCAGTTCTAACACAACCCCATGGCAATCATCCCCGATCGATCACGTATTACTCCAAACAATTAGACACAGTCGTACATGGAACACCACAGTGCCTTTGTTCGGTAATGACCACTGTTGAAGCTGTTTTGGTGACATTTCCCCTTTTAACTGTGTTATTTGCTCAGAGGGGGGTACAAAAGGTAAAGATGGATTATGAAACGATGCAAAGACAAAAAGGCCTTTCCTGCCAGAACAACTGTATCCAAATTTAGCTAAATGGTCTTATGGGGCAGACCACGCTAGAAAATTGGCAATGAATAATCTAATTGCAACTTCCTGGGAGGCCCCATAATTTATAGTTGTAGCAGAGAAATTCTGTCAGAACTGTTACATCTGTGCAGCGATTAACGTGGGAAGACGAAGTAAGCCACAAACTTAATTAATGTTAAAGGTAGGGTATGTAATTTTTCAACAACACTTTAGAAAACTGATTCGGGCCGAATAGCAAAACAAACTTGTAGCCAATCAGCAATAAGGGGCGTGTCTACTCGTGATGTGGAGGAGAGAGCTTTCAGTGCATGGGACGGACATTCGCTGAGCGACAGAAAGATAGAGATGGCGGATAAAAAACAAAAGAGGAAAACGTCTGCGAAACGATAAGGCAAGAAGTAGGACCCGTGTAAATATCGGATCAGCTTTCCAGTGCTGGAGAGAACTCAAAGAGCGGAGGCCTGCAATCGGACGCCAAGGTTGCTTTGTTTCTTCGCAATAGGTGAGTAACACCTTGTCTACAACAGCTAAAGTCTGACTACACTGGACGCGATCAAACGACCGTTGAAAACATTTGAAATTTGTGTCAGCACGTCATAAATAGAACCCGGCAGCAGTTTTCTGTCGGGGATTTGTTGCGCCACTCACGTCCGATGTAGACACGGTGTAACATTGGTTTTGCTTTGTTTCACAGAACTAATCGTTGCCTGGGTTGCGTACGTATATGTGGGGCGGAGCTATCAAAATAGAGGCAAGACCCTTTTGGGGTAGGGGCGTGTTTGTTTTGGTGATTTCAAATATCAACATTGGCTACCAGAAATCGCTTACCCTGCCTTTAAGAGATAACCAGAATACGACCGTGTAAAAACGATTAGGAGGAAATGTGATGGAAATATTTTATGTAATGGCCTTAGGAGGAATCAAAAGTGTATGTTCAATATAGAATGTTCAGAAAAGTGCAGACTAAGGACGCTCAGCTCAAAGACCATGTATCTATTAATAAATAATCTATACTTACCCAAAAAGTGCTTAAAACGGTAGAACTAACAGTCATAAAAAACAATGACCAGATCAGTATAAGCAATTACACTGAAGATGACTTGAGTAACATTGATTTTTACTTAATTAGAAGGTATAAAATGTACATGTATCTTTCTGAGTCTCTCTTGGTTGTTGTGACCAGTGGGCTCCCGGCTGTGAATAAACTTTTATTCCTGCAAAGAGAAACTTAGGAGTCATGTCTGGTATATGCTGCGCAGCTGAGGAATAGAAATACAAAAGATTAGCCGTTTTGCTGCTCGACAGTGGCTTTTTTTTTATAGCTGCCCTTTTAATATGTTCAAATTCTACCAAAATAAGTAAAAACCTCAATACTTGAAATTAATTTGCTGTGTCCAAAAAAGGATTTTACTTTATCATTTTTGCATGTTATGTATTTTATATTTACTTATTTATCGTTTGTTTGTTTGTTTCGATCTCCTCTGGATATGCTTGTCAATTGGCAATTGAGTAGCTGGTCTATTATTGATTGATTGAATACATGTGTTGATATGTGAGGAATGTCCTGTGCGAACAAAACATTTGTTGATTTTTTTTTTTTTAATTTTTGCACTTCGTAATAATAAAGAAGTTTAATTGTATCTTGGCATGTAATCCTTTTTGGAAACACAGCAAATTAATTTCAATTGAATTTGGAGGTTTTTATTCTTTTTGGTAGAATTTATTGATGACATGAAGTCGTGTCATGTTGATTGAAGCAAGCGCAAGATCCTCCTTTTCCCCTTTTAATGTTTGACAGAAAATTTCCTTAAGCCTTTATCTGGCCGAGTTCGTCTGTGCTCTGAATCACTCACACATCTTTTGACAGTTCGGTCATCTCCATTCAGTTTTCACAAAACATTAGTTGTCATGCTTTTGCAAGACATTGCACTACTTAACAAACCTGTCTGAGATTAATACCAGTTATGCAAAAATATATGAGAAATAAAACAAAACGGTTTCTTTGAAAGACTAAAATCTGAATTTTTACTTTACTGAAATGTCACTTGCAAAATTGGAACGGAGTGGAGAGAGAGAGAGAGAGAGAGAGAGGGGAAGGAGTTACCTCTATCCTTCGAGAGTTTTCGAGCTTCCATCTACCACCCTAACTCCTCAATCTCAACGGTTTCTATCCCAGCCTGGGATATGTGGAGTACTCAGGATTCAGGCCAAATTCCTAGCTCGGAGCCCTGCCCTCAGACAGCACACCAAATATGCACACTCTTTACATCTGATTTCTGGATTGTGAACTTGTGAATTTTATGTTGCTCTCGTGAGTCACTCTACATGACAGTTTACAACTTGAAAGAACCTTGCCTTGCCATAAAAAGGTCAAATTATCTGGTATTTAAAGAGATTTATTGACCTTAACATGCAGGATAATGACAATCAAAAATCAGTTAATTGAAATAAATTGTTTTACTGGTTATTCACAACACAAGTAAACCATGTTTACAAGAAAAAAAATCTAGTTATTTCCCGGTGGTGACTAGGGTTGGGAATCGAAAATCGATTCCGATGTGCTTTTTTTTTTTTCTTCATCTGTGAGACCTAGCGATCTGCCAGGACCTTGCTCGCTAATCTAAGCGCTCCAAAGTTTGGCAACATTTGCGATCAGAAGCCAAAAAAAGCTAAGTATAATATCTGTGATAACTAAACAAGTTGCAAGAGAGGTGTCACCACCAACATGATAAAGCACTTTAATTTAATAGATTGTTAAAGATTCATCCATTTCATTCCTCAACCTTTGACGGGTGCGATCAATGTTGTGATCACTTGGTTCGTCCGTGCAGCATACGATCACATCAGTGTGATTTGAACATTTAAATTTGCGTTCACGCTGCCATTGACCTAAAGAGAGCATCTGTCATGAATGAAACAGCTTCACAGTCTTTTCAGCCACACAGTATCATTATTTCTGTGTTACAAACATTCAAATCACAGAAGTACTGGGATAAATGTTTATAGTTCTGAAATAAACTGTGTGTACGATGTGTATGGTAGCGATTAAAATAGAATAAATCACCTTTTGAAAATAATTTGACGCTTCAAATGAAGATTATGGATTATTATAGAAATGGATTACATTGTTACGCCAGTACGTGGCGAAAAGGGGCTGTTAAAATGTATTCGTCTTTGAATCACAAGAGATTCGTTCAAGAACGCGG